CTGCATAGAAACTTATGCACAAAGTATGCATGCTCTGCTAGTGCTTAATATTTAGGTACACATGCAGGTTCATCAAATATATTTGTTACTTAGCAAAGTCTGTTATTCCTCCTTAGCTATTGGTGTTTTTATTTTATTATATTATTAAACTATGAATATATTTTTACTTAATTTTACAGCCAGCAGAGCTCTCTAGCAAAACATTTTTCTCTTTTACGCTTTCAGATGTCAAATACAGAGGATTCTGCCAAGGCGTTAAACTAACTGATGTGCAGTGACCGATAAATTCTAACTTTATAATAAGTGCCAAATCATTCCAACTTTTCTTTGTAGTCGCTCCATTAGCAGGAATCCCAGTGGATTCCTTTGGTATTCACATGCATATCAGAACTAATTCTCTGGGAATTTCAGGGCAATTCGTCATTTTGCTCTGTGTTTTATGATGCCAAAAAATGTTGCATGCATACATTATAAAATGGAAATTTAGGAACACGCATCACAGCTGAAAATAGAAATCTGAGAGAACTTCTGTTTTCATTAGGCTATTAAATCTTCATTTTACATTTAACCCTTTATAAATAACAAGTTGTGTATTTTTCTGACTATTAAACTATTTTATGGAGGAGTCTGTGCTGTAGTGGAGTCTTAGGGGAAACATGTTGTAACTTCTTACCAATGAAGTGCTTGGGGAGTGGTTTTCCTGCTCAATATTTGTATTGCTCACAAATTTTTTTCCATCAGAAAGATCTGTGGGATTATATAGCGGGAACATTGCAGTTCGCATGGTAATAAACACAATTGGTGTAAAATACTCTTCATGATAGTGCTTTAACTGTTACATTTGTAACAAAATGACAGAGGTTATTCTGAGGTTTTGGTTTTAAAAGTGTTACTGACAGTTCAGAGCATTTCAGAGGCTTCTGAAATGCAGATATATTGGTAAGAACAAATTTGAAAGCTATATATTTTTTCATTGCTCACATAAGCTGTCTCAAATATCAATATGTCCATCTATATCAAAATGGGACATAGTGGTACATTATTGAAGGCTTATTATTTATTGCATTGGCTTGTTATTTTTTGTATCAAAAAATTGTGTGCTTTTTCCTACCTGTGAAAATAAAATGGCACTCCACATTTGTGTAAACCTATGAAAATTGCCACTGGATCTTACTCTTTGTGCATCAGACTGAAATATTTTTAAAAATATTTTTAGTTATGCTTTTAGTCTTTTATTTTGTTAATAATTCCAGAGATTTTTAAAAACATCTCCAACTACTCCTTTGACTCTGTTTGTAAGGGAATGCATTAATTATCAAGCTGAAGCTAATGTTTTGCATATGAATATTTTTAAAGACTCAAAGCCAAAATAGAATTGCAAAGCACACTGCTGGTTATTTTGTGTGAGACAGTTTAGAATTATTTGGAGATGTTGTGGGGGATCAATTTAAAGAGCAGACAAAATGTTATGGTTCTTCAGATGAGATATACTTGTGGCCATTATTTGTGCAGTAGAAGAATGAAGCATCTTCTCTTTTCTAAGTTTTGCCATGTTTTTGGTAGTGCTTGAAGAAAAAAGGAGGATGATGGAGATAACTCTATGTAGGGATCAAATTTGAGGTCATATAAATCAAATATATAATCCTTTGTTAAGTTATAACATTTACTTACATGAAATCATGAGTGGATGCTGCAGGTCATGAGATGCTTGCTGTCTTTGGCTTGGGTTGATTTCTGTATCTTTATTTCTTTTTACAAAGCCAATGCTCTCTGCATTGCCTGCATACATAAACTCATACAAGCAACTCTTGGCCACAGACACAGATCCTTCAATCGGCATTTTCCACTGTACCTTTCTGGCAAGTTGAGGTCCAAATGCAAATGTTTGTGATGTTGTTGAAGCTATGGGGCTTCAAACACCAACGCTCTCCACATCTAGTAAGGAGGATGCACGCAGCCTTTGTGGAATGGCAACTGCATAAAGCTGTAGCTGCCTTGGTCTGGACCCCAGCAAAAGCATGTGGCAGGGCTGTAATGAGCATGTGTGCCAGCTGTCTGTTCTCTCTGTGTCAGCTGTATGTTCTAACATATTGCAGGGTTTTTTCTGTTCCTTCATTTTTTTCTGGACATCAAGCTTGTTTTCATTTGCAGCATAGCCCTAAGTGCCGCCAGCAATCCGTGCTGTCACCAGGCAGGGTGATGCCTGCAGCTCTGTTCCTCTGGACACGGTGGCACTGGTGGACTGGTCACTTGTGAATAGGCCTTTCTTTGCAGCCACATGCTTGCTGGCAGCGGGGCCACCCACCTTCTGCAGGCTTTAGTTGGGATGCTGCAATCGAGCTAATTTTGTTCTAGGGACAGTCAGAAGCCTTCAGTCTGTTGGAGGCTACCTTTAAAAATAGCACAGTGAACTGCACGCCAGCACAAGCAAAAAATGAGCACTTGTTTGGCCGTGTTTGATCCGCTGGCAGTGCCATTGCTATCCTGCAAATGCTCCGTGACCACGTGTCTGAGGAGGTGTGGGGAGGAGCACTGGAGCATGCTGAGATCCTCAGCTCTGAATGGCTCTCAGCTAAGCTAAAGTTCACATAATAATATTGGATTTGGACAATTTCAGGCAATTTCAAAGTTGTGAATTACCTTTGAAAATTATGGGTATTTTTGGAGCAGGTGAACTTTATGGAATGTAGGTATGGTTTCCAGAATTGTGAGAGGAGATGGACTGATGGGCAGTTCTCATGTTGTTCTAGTAAGATGATGCTTCCCTGTGTTGCTCTTATATCATGACTCTTTCCAACTTGAATCTTCTCAACTGGCAAAGCTTATCAAAGACTAAATAGACTCTGGTTTGGGAAGGTACTCCAAAGTGAGAATTTTTGATAAACCTTAGAGAGTGATGTTTTTTATGATTGTGTGGCTGGGATTCAGATGTCCCATCGTCTCTTTGGAAGTCATACAGGTTCCCTTAATGCCCACAAAAGTGAGCAAATGAAGGTTAAGTTTTGGGGTTGCTTCTTCAGTTTGGTGTTCATATTTTTCCCCCAGCAGTGCACTCCTGGTTATTCCTACTGAGTGTTTAAACACCGAAAGCAGCACATAGTCCATGTAGGACCGGAAAGGCCACCCTCAGCTACCAGAGGAGTGTCCAGTGGCACAGGGAAACTTGTGGAACTCATGGTATAGTCAAAGAGTCCAAGTTTCCTCCCCAGCCTGTTGAGAAGTGATGGATGCCCAGGAGGTGGTTGTAGGAAGACGTGGGCTTCTGCTGTGAGTAGGTAGCACTGTGGCTCCTGTAGAAAGGCAGGGAAGCACTGTTGTGTGCAGTGCAGGAAGTTGTTTGTCCAAAGCTCTGGAAAGTCTGACGTTCCCAAAAATGTATTTTATAGGGACCCCAATCTTGTGATGCTTGAAACATCTCTTGTGTGAGATCTTTGGCAGGTTGAGAGATAGGAACTACAGTAAAAAAAAATATGTAGGTATGGGGGCCAAAGTGTAGATATATATTTAGTGTAGTTATTTTGCTTCTGCTGCTCCAACAAGTGACGTGCAAATTGTTTTCCACCTGTACTGAACACAGTAGTGTTGAGAAAATGCTGTTCTAAATTTTAGGAATGTGGGCTCTGCAAAAGTTTCTGGGGAAAACTGCAAAAGTTTCAGGAGATAACTGTTCCACCTGTGGAATTATGCTTTAAGAGTAGAAAATAGTTTTCACAGACTCTGAGATTTAATAGGCTTTCACTTTGATTTAAACTGGAAAGTTTTTTCCATGTCTCTGGAAGTGATGCTTCATTAGAGCAAACCTACCTCTTCAGTGTAGTCCAGAACCCTGAGAGTGGGACCATGTGCTTATTTCCAAGTAACAACAGCTTCATTAAGGTTTGGTTACTAATTAAAAGTTCCTCCTAGCTCATATGCTATAACTCAACTTTGCAATTTATGTATATTATTAGCATAATTATTTTTGGATTATTTCTCTCTTGCTTAGCTTTTTCTTAATAATCAAGACATAATTTTATGTTTATATGTGTGCATATATTAACAGCAGCAATAAAGTAATAGTCTGCAATGTATTCTTGTCCTTCTCTCAGGGTAGGCATAGAGAGCCTATTTTTTCATCTGTGTTACCTTCTAAAGAATGCACTCAGTGATATACATGCTCTTTCATATGTTAGACAAGTAGGGATACAAGATTATTCCATCCCACGATTTGGATGTATCTTAAGGGTGTGCATATTGTACCTGCCCACCCCCTCACTTTACAGATGGAGCATACATATCTGATGTTTAGAAAGGTTTCTCATGACACTTAAAATTCAGCCTTCTTATTGTTCTGATCTTATTTTCTTCATTCATAATTTTTAAAGTATGAATTTGGACCGTAATTAGCAGATTATTACAATTAGGTTTCTGGCTATTGCCATTTTATTAGCAGTGTAGCAATCCTACACTGCAAAGCAGACATTTGGGACTCAGCAAACCATGTTGCCACCTCCAGTACATCTTAAAAGACCAACTGGCAGAGTGTCTTGGTGGGTGTCATTGTTTGCAGTCTGGCTGGTTTGGTGTATTGGTAAGAAATATTTTAGTTGCAGTTACTAGGGCTAAAGCAGGGCTACTCTTGGTTAGGTCACTGAAATGTTTGTAATGACTGGCTCTTGGAAGAGTGAGCCACTGCTTGGGAGAACCATGCTTGAGCTCCCAGCATGCTGCTGGGAGAGAATTGAGGCAGATAGTGCCTGAGGATGTGTTGTTCCACTGCATTGTTGTCCCTGCCTTCTTTCTCTCTGTGGGAATTAACAAAGTCCCACCTGATTGTGAGGAGCTGTTCTGGTTATCCAGTTCGCAGCTGTTCTTCCTGTTAATGTGCTCTGGGATAGGGATGGAGAGGATGACCTGAGCATGATGTGCTGCAGGGACAGGGGTTTCCTTCATAGTTGTCGTGCTACCTTTAAATTAGAATTTTAAGATTGATTAACCTGTTTTCTTTGTCTTCCCTGTAGGACGGGTCACTGGGAAATATTGATGATCTGGCACAGCAGTATGCAGACTACTATAACACCTGCTTCACAGATGTGTGTGAGAGGATGGAAGAGCTGCGCAAGAGGAGGGTTTCCCAAGACCTTGATTTGGTATGTAGAACACTTACAACTTTATTAACAAATAATTGCCATTCATGCTCCAGATGAAGAATCGATATTACAGCTTGAAGAATTCTACCCAGGGAAATAACTGTACGTGGTTGTGTTCACGCAACATTTCAGCCAACTCAATTAAACACTTGGAATTAGCTGGATTAGGTTTTTTCTAGGTATTTTTTATGATTCATTAAGCCTTGGAGTCTGCATTTTTTATTTCTTCTTTAATTAGAGTACTTCTTGCTTGCATACATTTGGTTGCAATCCTCAACTCTCAGAGGCAAGGCACTATCCGATGAAAGCATTGTTTCCTTGCTCCAAGATGATCCCAGTGTGAGCACAGTTAAACTGTGAGGTTTTCAGTTGCGCTGTACAAAGTGTAAAGAGGGGCTTCTCAAAAGTCCAGGGTGCAAATACTGGTTCCAGGCTCCCAAATGTAAGCAGTTCTGCCAGCTCTTTCCATTAGTTTATAGAACCTGTAGCAGATGATGCGGGGTCACAGAGCTTTTCATGATGGATGGGACCTCAGGAGGTCCCTAATCCAGCATTCAGCTCAAAGCAGTGTCAACACTGAATTCAAACCAAGTTGCTCAGGGCTTTCTCATAGAGTTTGAAGACCTCCAGGGATGCAGATGCTGCACTGTCTCTGAGAAACCTGTTAATACTGCTTTGCTATCTTCATAGTGAACTTCTCTTTTTAAATAATGTGTTGTGAGATCCTCCCCATAGCAATTTATACTGTTGTCTGTTGTTCTCATGAAACATGCCTTTTTGATAACCTCCCCACAGATACCAGTAGATCATCTTGAAACTGTCTTTTCTGACAGTTTGGAGCTGAATCTCCCAACTCTTCTTGCTGGGCATGTGCAAAAGTCCTTGAGAGTGCCTTGGTAACAGCTGATGATGTGGATTATTTAAGGCTACTTTCTTTCTTTTTGGGATTCCAGGATACCAACTGAGAGGCTTCCAGAGTTTGTAGAGACTACAAACTTCAGTTACACAATTAATGGCAGCAGAATCAAGGCAGGGAGTCATCTTCTGCCCTCTGAAGTTTGTTAGTTTCTTCTTTATTTTTACATAGAAAAAAAAAAAGCAAATGTTTTTGCAGATCTCTTGCTGCCCAAGAAGTTCCAAGGGTTAAACAAAAAGCTATTGCAGGAAATTCTTTTGTAGACAGACCCTTAAGGCTTCTGTGCAGAGAAGTGATGGCACAGAACTGTGATTCTCATGAAAACCCCCACACCTGGCAGGCCTGGTATTCTCGGTGGCTGTTGGCAGCAATGAAACCCCCTTTCCTGGTGCTCTTGGAAGGCAGCTCCTGTGCTGGGTAATGGAGTGTGCCTTATGGCAGGAGAGGACCCCTTCCATAGACAGATGGGCCTAATTTGGCTCCCCTCACTTCTGAAGCTGCAGAAGCCAGGCTGGAAAAAGCCATGTGAGCTAAATTAACTCACATCAAAGGTGCAGATCTTCATGCTGGTTTAAATAGACATGAGCTAACCAAAAACAGACCATCAAGTGATTCATTCTGTTCCAGAGAAGCTGTAGTCAGAGAAAGTGGCTGTGTGCAAAACAGCCTGGAGATTCCTCTTCAGCCTCTCTGATACTGAGTTTGCTTACTCTAGTGGTCCAGTGATGACTTCTTGAACTGCCAGGTCAGAGAGAAGACAATGCAATTGAAAATTAAATTATTGCTCCATTTTTGCTACATCTGTCACTTCTGTAATGCATTTTCTAGACATAAGATAGCCATTCTGCTGATAACATATGAGCCTATAGATATTAGCTCACTTGCCCAACAACTGCATCCAAACAGTGCTGACTGCAGCTGAATCTTGCTCTCATCAATGAACAGGCAGACTTGACTTAGCTATACAGAGAGGGGGAAATAGCCAAGTAGACCAGAATGTGATTTTAGTGTGATGAGCAGAAGAGTGAGTCACTTGTTGTGGTGCTTTTTGTCTCTATACACCTTGAGGAAAGGCAGTGTATTGGCAGACATTTGGGGATAGTGAATGGGAAGTAGTGCTGGGGTAAATTCCCAATGCACATTCCAGATGTGCTATGATAACAAAGAAAAAAATGTACCAGAGAGCAAATATATGCAGCTCCAAAATTATTGTGCACCAGTATTGTGGGTCTGTTAGCCTAGGCTGACCTTGCTCTGCCATACATTGCTCTTCTAGCACGGATGAAGAAAGCAGTGCTCTCTCTACATCCTGTCTTCCCAACAGTGGGGTTGTGCCAGAGCTGGAGGTGGGCAGTGTATCAGTTCTTCCTCCCCTCCCCAAAGGTCTTCTCCCTCTCTTTAGTGAAGTGAATATAGCAGAGCTGACATGCATGCAGTATTAGTGCAGATTTTCAGGGGTTTGATGGAGTGGTGGTTACTGAATCCATATGAAAATGCAGTATTGGGTGCATAAAATTACTTAGCAGAAACATAAAAGGTTAGGTTAGGTTGCTGCTTTTACTGAATGCTCTGAACAAAGAGAAAGAGCAGGTCACTCCAGGAGTCAAAGTGTCCTGTAAACCGTGCACAGAGAGGCCCTGTCAGGAGGAGCAGTGCAATAACAAAGACATGCCTGAGTTGGCAGAGCTTTGGCAGGAACATGTATTTAGCACCGGCTCGCCCAGATTGCCCTTTGTAGCACGTCCACTGGAGGGACAGAAATATGAACTGTTTATTGCTGCTTTTGTACCCTTTGAAATAATTTAAGCTGTTTGGGCGCAAGTGTTGATATCTTGATTGTATATTGTACTTTCTAATCAGCTCTCCAGCCTTTCCTATCACACCATGGCCATTTCAGTCTAGATATCCTGCTCTGAAGTTGAATTTAAAAAAAAAATCACTTGGTAAAATTATTTGGGAAAGCAGCATATCTTGTAACAAAACACTGGGTGCAGATGGAGCTGAACCCAGAATATTTTTCCAAATGGCAATGCTGTCAAGGATTGTTAGTTCTCTCTAAACATGATAACTGCTTTCTGTGTTTGGAGTTTTGCCCATGTTTTTGTAATGAAGAATGTGCTTGGGTTTGGACACTAATGTTTGTGAACAGCATGGGAGTTGCCCACATTTCCTAGCATTTGGCCTATTCCTGTACACCATGTGGGCTTTTGGCTGAGGAAGAACTGCAGGTGGAGTAGATAGAGTGGATTTTCAGGCCCATAATGAATGTATCACTGGTAATATTGAGGTGGACATCTGCTAAAATATAGTTGTGGCCAGAGAAGTGACTCTGTGAGGATGGTATTTTCTAACTGGTCACATGACATCCTTGTCTTTAAATTGGAGAGACATGAATTAGACAGATGAACTGCTCAGGTGTATAAGGAAGTGGCTGGATGGCCACACTCTGGTGGTTCAGTACCCAAATGGAGATCAGTGATGAGTGGTGTTCCTTAGGGAGCGCTGTTTGGATTGGTGCTGTTTAACATCTTTGCTGGTGACAGGGAGAGTGGTATCAAGTGCACCCTCAGCAAGTTTGCTGATGACTCCAAGCTGAGTGGAGTGGTCAATACGCTGGAGGAGAGGGATGCCATCCAGGGCTACCTGGACAGGCTTGAGAGATTGGCTTGTGAAGCCTCATGACATTCAAAAAAAGTGCAAGGTCCAGAAAACGTGTTGGGGCAATCCTGTGCACAGGTACAGGCTGGGAGGAGAATGAATGAAGAGCAGCCCTGGGGATAAGGTTTTAATGGTGTTGGTGGATGAAAAACTTGACATGACTTGCAGTGTGTGCTCACAGCCCAGAAAGCCCACCAGATCCTGCACTGCATCAAAAGGGGTGTGGCCAGGAGGTCAAGGGAGGTGATTGTTCCCTTCCACTCTGCTCTGCATCCAGTTCTGGGGTCCCCAGCACAGGAAAGATGTGAGAGAACTAGGTTCATTCCGCCTGGAGAAGAAAAGGTTCCAGGGGGATCTCACTGCAGCCTTCCAGTAACTAAAGGGGGGTACAAGAGAGCTGGAGAGGCGCTTTTTACAAGTGCATGTCGTGATGGGGTGAGATACTGGAACAGAAAAGTTGTGGGTGCCCCGTCCCTGCAAGTGTTCAAAGCCAGGTCAGATGGGGCTTTGAGTAATCCCATTGCAATGAGGTTGGAACGAGATGATCTTCAAGATATGTTTCAACACAAACCATTCTATGACCTGCTTCCTTTGTGTCTCTGGGGTCATACCTGCATGGCTTGCTGACAAAAGCAGCTTTGTCTTGCCTGTCAGCAGGGCAGGGCAGGATAGCATTGACTTAGCCATGAAAGAGCAAACTGCATTCTGTTGTCTCATCTATCACTGACAGCAGCCAGCTAACTGCCGCTGCCGAGGTCTGTATTGGAGCTGATGAGCTTGAAGTCAAAGAATGGCTTGAGGTTTTCTGATGGACTCTGACAGCTGCAGTTGGGGCACCGAGAAGTTGCATCCATCTTTTGTCTTGCAAATTGTATAAAATTAATGCCACTGAAAAGCTAAATGGCATAGTAGAATACTTTTTTTCCCCCACATTCATGTAATTAATTTCATTGTGTAGAAAGGGAAGTGTTCAAAATCTCTCTGTACACTGTGATAAAGTACAATGAATGTATTTGGAAAAATTACCTTGCCTAATCCTGGCTGTTTTTACAATACCTGCACATGTACACAGGCAAAGCCAGAAAATACAAAATAACATAAAACAATCATAAGCTTCTTGTCCTACTTCCAACATCAATGTAGTCTTCCTAAGTCTTGTCTGTGCATGGTTTTATGAGATGCTCAACATCCATGTTTGTTTACAGATGGAGTTGATCATGTAGGTAATGTCATCTCATATAAATGGTATGTACAGCAAGAAAAAGGGGAAGAAAAGTAGAGTAATTAGTAATTTGAGTGATAGAATAATAATGAATTTTCCTCTTTACAGATGCATTTGTCTGTTATAGTACTACTGGTTGGCATTATCATCAGGCTGTTTGAGAAACTAGCCAGCCTTTGCTGGAGCACACTAAAACACCCAGAA